TCTGACTGCTGCTATTTGTGTGAGCAAATTTATTAAGGGTAAGAGAAGAAAGAAGGATGTATTTTGAACACATCAAATCCTGCTTCCCTATTTAGAAACAGGCTATTTAAAAACAAACAAACAAAAAACCCGTGGAACTGGACATCCTATTCCTTGTTGTCTCTGAAAAAAACAGATCTGGAAGTTTGTTTGCAACAGCTTTTCTTTAAAAACAGACATTTTTGGTTTTGTTTTCGTTTCTTTTTTTTTGTTTTTGTTTTTTTTTTTTTTTTTTCCTAGGCAGTCACACAGCTTTGTGAGGCTATACTCAACAATTAATTTAATAAGAGTATTGGTAGAAATCATGTTATGCACTGTCTTGCAGGAGTGACTTCTTTGATTTTGCATTTATTATTTTTGTGAGTGGAATAACTGCTTTGTGTCTCTTTCCCCAAATAAAATATTTATTAGTTAATATCATGCTGCACAAATTAATGCTGTCTGATTTCTTTCTGGGCATCCTGCTTTTTTCAGCATTAATGCTTAGACTCGCAGTAAACACTCTCAGTAGTTTGCATGTCTCATTTGGAAAAATACTGGCCTTTGGGAAAAAGACATGAAAGCCCAAGAGCTACACAAAAACTGAGTTTATGGGAAGTCTTTGTTTTAAGCCAGCACTAAAAGGGGACTGCACTGGTAGCTGCTGTCCTTCAGGTGGGAGAGGAAAACCCCCACCTCTGCTGGGTCTTCAAATCTTGTGGAAAACTTCCCAGGAGACCCCTGACAAAAGGAGATTACTTGTTACTGTGGCTTAGTTGCAATTTTATAATCTTGTCTTGAGTAAATAACAGCTTGTCCTGGCGTGTTTGCAGGAGCAGGGCAAGGAGACAGGAACTCCTTCCCTGGTTAATTGTGCGTGGGTCAGCAAAATAACCTGAGATGTCAGTCAGAAGGATCTTGGGATCAAGCTGTTGTCCTCCAAACCCAATGTCACTAACTAATCACTTGCTGCCTGCAATGTATCAATGACTATGCGCTGGGGCATTTTTTTATTCTTGGCTTTCTCTGTCCTCCTGCTGTTTATCTATGAGGAGCTTCAGCCAAGCTAACCAAAGCCCCAGTGTTTCAGGGATTAATTCCCAGAAAAAGCCCAGAGAGGAACTATCAGCCGGGAGCTGATTAAATGCATCTGAACTCAGCCCCGTGATGCTTCTGGTTGGGTGAGAAAGACAGCAGGCTTTGCTGAAGTAAGACTAAGATGAGGGGCTCCGGCCAAAAAGTACAGCCGTGCTTGATATTTTATGATGGCTTTTGCTACCTTAGCCTTTGTCCGGTTGCAAGCCGTGAAAGGCAGCTACAGGCTGTTGTTAGTAGGTAAATATTTGGCTCTAACTTTAAATCCTTTTAGTGAAATCCTGCAGGAGGTTGGTGATTTTGTAATCTAACTTGAGCCTCTGGGAACATTTCTGTGCTCTCATTCCACCCATATACTATGAATGCATCTACATTAGTCTGTGCATGTATAGATGTTGTATCTAACATTCGTAAGTGCTGGCAGGAACAGAAAATATTTAGCGAGAGGAATTTTACTTCTTTCTTTGCTTATGGTTTGTTCTTGAAGCGTCAAACATATCTTTCAATAAAAATAACTAATGTGTTTATTTTAACCAGAGCTGGGTAACTAATTTGCATTAAAGAAATTACTCTATTCATCTTTTTTAGATCAGGCACAAGTTGTGATTTTCTCATTTGTACTTACTGTTCAAAAAGATTTACTGAATATTTTTTATGAATGAATTTGTTGGCAATTCACCCATAAACAGTTTGGTGTAAGTATTAATTTAAACAGTTGATTCTAATAATTTCAGTGTCCAAGTATCTTTGATGACTTCGAAAATCTCAAGCTAATTAGTCAAAATCTGAGCTGGTTCTTTTCAACAGGCAAGTTTCCATCTTGCAAGACAACAGAAACTTTAGGGTTGTTTTTTCTGTGTTGTCTTGCTGTTATAAATTGGAGCTGTGTTATTCTGCAGTATTGTGTATTATTCAGTAGTGCCACTAAAGTTAGTGGGAAATATGTTAGAATTTGTAATGGGACTAGGGTTTTATCCGCTGTTTCAGCAAACACACAAGTCATCCAATTCCCTCACTAGTGTGCTGGAAGAAGGGGAACAATAGAGCACCAACACAATTACAGTTTTAGTGTTAAAATAAGGAGTAAATGCTCAGGTAAAATGTTTGGCAATATCACACAGCTCTAATTTGCACATTTTAGAGGTTGATCTTTCATGTCCCCTCAAGTTCTTTGTTCACTTGAGTCCCTGAATAAAGCTCATGGAAAGTCAGAGGGTATCTTATGTCATCACTATTTGTGTTAATGGCTTAGGAAACCCACAATCCAATCAGTTAAAATAAACAACCCGTGTAATAGGAGCATAAATCAATGTAGACTTCATTATGAAACCTTAATGTGTAATCCATCCACCTACAGAGGAAAGGGATACTGAGAGGCAGCAAGACAAAACCAGAGGACTGTCTGATTTAGGCAAGCCTGATATTTAAAAAGGTGCTGAGAACAGTAACTCTTCCTGGAGTCAGTAAATTTGGTGGATACTCATCACTCCTGACAGCGTGCCCCTGACTATTAAGTCCCTATGCTAAAAAATGCCGAGAAACTCAGGAAGAGAGCTTTGATTGCTCTTTGTTTGCTCGGGGAGACTTGAGACAGTCAGGACTGTGGACTAATGAACAAAGACATGAAGTATCAAGATTAACATATGACTAAAATGATATGTGTTATGTAGAAGTAACAGTATTCAGAGCTGCTCTGACCCTGCTGCTGATTTTCTTCTCTGTGTGGTCCCTTGAGCCAGTAACACGAAGTGGGACCCCTTCTCTGAGGTGAGGGTGGCAATACTTGGTGAACTGAGAGTTACTGGATTTCATTAAAACCATGTGTTCTGTTTGTCTTGGCTCTGAAAGGAGCAGTAACCCTATCATACTGAGCCTTTTGATTTCTACACAGTTCATAAAAGGGCTGAACTTTTATGTTCAGTGCAGAGATCTCTGCTTGTTGAGTTAATGTAGTAATGAATAGAAACAGCAGGCTCTCGCTCTGGGCATGGGCCAGCTCTGAGATGGGGATGAGACATGCGCTTTTCCTGTGGATTTTAGCTAATAGCAAAAGTAAGGTGAGTCTTTAAAAAGGCATCAGTGCTCACAGACCCTTCTCCCTTGAGTCCTCCATTTCAGAAGTGATTCTCTGCCTGTTTGCTCCAATCTCTCATCCTTCTCTGACTCTTCTTTCTTCCTTCCTCTTCCCCTGACCACATCTTGATCTTTTGTCTCACTCTCCTGCTGATACTCTTGTCCCTGTTGCTCACTTGTGCCAGTATGAAATGTGTATTGAGCAGTTAAAGTTCGGTAGCACTGGTAGTTGAGCAAAACCAGTATGGAGGGAATTCTGCTTTTCAGAGATTTGGAGTTAGTTTTCATTAATAATTATGATTAAAAAAGAAATCTAAGATTGCGTAATGGTAAGGATAAACAAGTTAGGATACATCAGCGCTAATGTAGATATTGCATGCAGAAGATGGCACATATAATTTGCCAATACAGAAGGAGGTTTGGTTGAAGGCAGCTGCCGAGCATCCTACAGGAGTTCTGCAGCAGAGGTGGAAACTTGATTCTCCAGGCTGAAAGTCACCTGCTCTGACTGTGAAAACTGACCATTTTCCTGCTTCATCCCCATGTCTCACTCAAGGCATACCCTCCCCAAATATAACAAAGGAGGAGGAGGTATGATTTGCAGCTTCCTAATTAGCTACACAATCCTCAGCACTATGTCATCTTACGCTGTGACTTTAGCAGGGAACTTTTGGAAAAAAAAGTGTCCATTTGCATTAACAGTCATTATTACATACATGAATTAGATTTCCCTAGTATTCTTTCTAGAGTTTATTTTTGCTAGGTGTTACTCCTCAATTCCATGTCTTAAATATTCAGTTGCATAATCTTAAATATGTCAGAAAATGGTTGAATCAATTTGACTGTTAAAATGATCCCATATATCCAGAATACATACTAGTAGGCTAAGTTTCTGAAGCACTTCAACATTCAGAAATATAGGAGCCATATATTTGTAAGATATTATCCTATTGTAATAATTTAATGGGAGCTAAAGTGATTCCATTATAGTTTATGTGATCCTGAGGTTCTTCAGGATCAAGGCTACGCAAATGCAAGTTTTCTATTATATTGGAAAGTTATATTGTGTTGTATTTTATCTGTATGGAAACTAAGAGATGTAGAATGTACCCAAATCCCTCACACAGCAATACAGGCTGGTGATTAATTCTTCAGTCTCAGCAGTGCAGCCTGGGTTGGAGGAGGATTATAGAAGGGGTCTAGTGTATCACACAGATGGATGGTAGATATCATGTGTTTCTTTCTCCTCAAGTACAGTATATCTTATTTCCTCTAACACAAAATTTAAAGTAGAAGGTGTGGTGCTTAATTGGTCTTGATTACAAATAAGTTTAGGGCATTTTTCTGCTCCCCAAATTCCAGGCTTCCATGTAGTTGTGGCTGCAAAGCTCGAAGATGGGGGAATTTTCTTGTAAATAAGATTAATATTGTTTAAAGATATTCTTCTTCAACTGCCAGTAATAAGGGATGCTGTCATGAAAAACCACCCCACATTTAACATTTCTGTGTGATACAGAATTTCCTCAACTTTGAGGTAACCAGACCAAACCAAAAAAGAGAGATTTAGGTGTAGATTCTGCAGAAACGCTACTGTGTATTAAATACTGTGTAATAGGATCAGTATGTCTGTCAGAGGCTTTTAAAATGTACTATCAATTTGGTTCCATATATTCACTGGCCAGATGGCATGAAAAGTACTTAGTATCCAAACAAGGATCTCAATGCCTCTGCACCACATGATGCACTGCAGCCCTGTGTAGCATGAAGTTCACTGTTCCGAATTGATCCCTAAATTTGGTGTGTTTCCATTGTAGAGCTCCTGTGACAAGGATGTCATCCTGAATATCCTTAGTGTCCTCACTGACTTGCTTTCTCTGGGTAAGTAAGCAAAGCTCTGGGGCAATGCCTGCGGGCTAGGGGCAGAAAGAGAATCCTCAAATAGGTCAGGGGATTCACACCTTCTTAATCTTGGACAGGTGTTTGCAAGGTGAACAAAACATGAATTGTATCTGTAGATCATCAGTCCTTACTCTTGTGTTTGGAAAACTGATCTTTTTCAGTAAGTTAAAGAAAAAAAAAAAAAAAAAGACCCAGAGAAAGCCTCCTATTTTTTTAATTTAAAAGATGCCCATGAATTTCAAAGTATTTCATAATCCCTGTCAGTCAACCACTGGAAATGTTCACCAGTGCCATTGGAGAGAGGGCAGTGAGAAAGAGAGAAGAACCTGACTTCTCAGAGCTCAGGGACTCTCTAATGGAGAGAGTTCAGCATTTCCCCAAAAGGAGACTCTACCTTGGGGCTGCAAGGAAGTCACATTGCTGCATGTGCCTGAGCCACATGAAAAAATAAGTGAAATGGCAAAAGAACTGAAAAAATAATTAAGTTGCTTTTTCTTCCTGCTCCACCTCAAAAATGTCATTTGCTAAACAACTCTCAACCCAACCAAGCTGCTAGGCTGTGGGGGCTGCATCTGTGAGTGCTGGAGCCTCTTGTATTCCCCACTCCTCGGAGCCCCACCACAGACATCATCCCATCCAGCTGGGACTCTCTTTTGAAGCCCTGCAGTTCCTTAACTAGATGGAAGGATTGCCTATGTGGAGGGGACACAAGGTATTGTCTCCCCTCCAGGAGCTGAATGTGCGACTTCCTCCAACCACGGAGCCTGAAGTTGCTGCTGCAATCACCCATGGATCAATGTTTGTTGGCAGAGTAGGACCCACAGTATTAGAGTGTGGATTCTCTGGAGACATAGATTTGTTTGAAAGCTCTATCCAAAGTTTCCCTAGGATCCTTGTTCATTTGGCAGAAGTTTGTTGCTTGTTTAATTTCCAGTATCTAAGAAAAGATCACTGAGCCTTCTGCTCCTTTGAAACCTGTTGGTGTCTCTGCTTATTCCTTTCTGCTGCATTTCAAAGCACAATGAAAAACTCCTGCAGGACATGGGTTTGTAAAGATAATGACTGCCAGAGCAAGAGGCAGCAGAGTGCATAGTTTTACCATGAGGCCATTAGCTGTGTCTCCAGGCCAGGGGCACCTGAGATCCATGGTCAATTCAGCAAACGCCTTTGGGTTCATAGCAATAAAACACCGTCGGAAGGTCATGCGAGCTTTGTGTGCTCCATGAGGGGTAAAAGTGCAATCGTTGTGGCTCAGGGAAGGGATACTCTGAGCAGTCTCTCCTCTTTTCCCCAGGGACTGGCCGGAGAATTCACTATGTGATCAGCAAAGGTGGCACTGAGGCGCTGCTGCAGGCTCTCGCCACCGCTGCCCGCGTGGAGCCGCCCGACCACAGCACCCTCCTGCCTCTGCTTCGCCTGCTGGCCAGGGTCGGCCAAAGAGGTACTGCTGAGCGGTGAGGGACTTCATGGGTGGGGGGGCTCAAAACTGACGGATGGCCCCAGGAATAGTCAGCACTGGGATGTGCTTGATAGACAGCTGTGAGTTTCGTTTTGAGGTGTGCCGCTTGTCTGCAGTTTGGCCAGGAAGAGATTCTGCAACAAGGCAGGGAGGGCATACACGCACGTAGAGCTGCTTCTTACACAGGTTTCATCCGTGTTCTGCCTTGGGTTGGCCTTGTAGTTGAAAGCCCCCCCGGCAGAAATTTTTTTTGTTTTCCCTTAACCTAAGCAAAATCTTAAAATACGATTTCTCTTTGATGGCCCAATCCGCGGCGGAGTGGCAGATCTTGGCATACAGAGGGTGTTTCCTGAGGCAGGGAAACGCCAGGGCAGCAGAAAGACCCACCAGGAGCTGGTAGCTCTCACAGGAGAGATAGACTGGTGGAACCATGCTCTGCTCCACCAAGAGAGAGCCAGGAACATCCACCAGAAAAACCACAAGACTGCGGGGATCCTATATCCTCCACCCAACAGGCAAAAGGCAGTAGCTTTTGTAGATACATCAGCTGGAAAAAGAAAGTGTACCCCTCATGATAAACACAACTGGCAAACAGATGAGGATAATGCTGAGGTACTCAACAACTTTTTTGCTTCAGTCTTCACTGGCAACTTCTCTCCCACACCTCTTGAGTAGATGGACCTCAAGGCAGGGACTGGGGGAACAAAGTCCCTCCCACTGGAAGAGAAGATTAGATTCAAGACTACCTGAGGAACCTGAACATACGTAAGTCTATGGGACCTGATGAGATGCATCCCAGAATCCTGAGGGAATTGGCTGATGTAGTTGCCAAGCCACTCCCTATGATATTTGAAAAGTCATGGCAACCAGGTTAAGTCCCCAGTGACTAAAAAAATGGGAACTTTACATCTGTTGTTAAAAAGGATAGAAAGTAGGACCCTGGGAATACTGACCTGTCAGCCTCACCTCAGTGCCTGGGAAGATCATGAAACAGATCCTCCTAGAAGCTATACTAAGGCACATAGAGGACAAGGATGTGATTCGAGACATCCAGCATAGCTTCACTAAGGGCAAGCCCTGTCTGACTAACCTAGTGGCCTTCTATGATCAGCAGACAAGGGAAGATCTATGGATGTCACCTATCTGGATTTCTGTAAGGCCTTTGACAAAGTCCCCCATAACATCCTTCTTTCTAAATTGGAGAGATAGGGATTTGATGGATGGACTATTCAGTGGATAAGGAATTGGCTGGATGATTGCATCTGGAGAGTAGTGGTCAATGGCTCAATGTCTGAATGGAAATCAGTGACAACTGGTTTCCCTCAGGGGTCCATACTGGGACCAGTACTGTTTAACATCTTCATCAATATCATAGACAGTGGGATCAAGTGCACCTTCAGATGACACCAAGCTGAGTGGTGCGGTTGACACATCTGAGGGATGGGATGCCATCTAGAGGGACTTGGACAAGCTCAAGAAGTGGGCCCATGTGAACCTCATGAGGTTGTGCAAAGTCCTGCAACTGGGTTAGGTCAACCCCTGGTGTCAATACAGGCTGGAGGATGAAGGAATTGAGAGCAGCCCTGCTGAGAAGGGCTTGGGGGTACTGGTGGACAAAGTTGGACATGAGCCAGCAATGTGCACTCACAGCCCAGAAGGCCAACCATATCCTGGCTGCATCAAAAGAAGTGTGGCCAGCAGGTCGAGGGATGGGATTCTCCCCCTCTACTTGGCTCTGGTGACACTCCACCTGCAGTGCTGTGTCCAGCTCTGGGGTCCTCAGCACAGGAAAGACATGGACCTGTTGGAGTGAGCCCAGAAGAGGCCACAGAAATGATCAGAGGGAGGGAACAGCTCTCCTATGAGGGAAGGCTGAGAGAACTGAGGTTGCTTAGCCTGGAGCAGAAGGCTCTAGGGAGACCAGATTGCAGCCTTTCAGTACTTAAAGAGGGCTTATAAGAAAGATGGGGAACAGACTTCTAGTAGGGCCTGTTGCGATAAGACAAGGACTAATGGTTTAAACTAAAAGAAGGTAGATTTAAGCTAGATTTAAGGAAGAAATTTTTTACAGTGAGGGTGATGAAACACTGGAACAGGCTGCCCAGAGAGGTGATAGAACCATGATCCCTGGAAACATTCATGAAGAGGCTGGATAAGGCTCTGAGCAACCTGATCTAGCTAAAGATGTCCTGCTCACTGCAGGGCGGTTGGACTAGTTGACCTTTAACCATACCATTCTATGATTTGTAAATGTGACTTTAGGTAAATCCCATGTTTTCCTCTTTTCAGTGTGAATAATTCTGATCTAACTGATTGATACATTTGAATGCCTTTGTCATGAGATCTTGAGTTGTAAGATTTGGTGCAAATATGTTTATCAGCACTGCTGCAGAGACCTGGTCTTTGTAATAGTTTGATTCATATTTGCTTTCACAGATAAGAAGTTTGGTTTGAAAGTGCAGAAGGCAGAAGCAACTGATATAATACTGAGCTTGGTAAGAAGAAACCTGGGCCACCACCTGCACCTCACCCACTGCCTCTGGGTCCTGCGGGTTTGTGCTTCTAACAGTAAGTGCCTGGATTTTCCTCTTCTCTTCCATGTGACAACCACCAGAGCCCTTTTTTAGCAATTTCAGTGAAAGAAACATCATTCCCGATTAAGGTTAGTGCCCATGCACTGTTAATATACAGAATCAGGCACAAAAGCCAGAATGACCACATAAAGAGGTGCTCCTCAAGGAGCCTATACAAACTTTACAGTGTATTTCATCTGTGGACTGTGAAGATAAAAGTGCTGTAGTGAAAAATATTCATGGCAATGGTCTCCTATTCTAGAGTATAAACAGTCAACTCCTTTGCTCTGAGACTTAGGTGCCTTAAGGCTCTATGCAGTTCCCACTACCATAATAGCCAAACGTTTCATTCTTCTGTGTTGTATTGATCCTCAGAGCAGCTCCATGAGGAAGTAGTATAAGGGTGGAGAAACAGAGGGAGAGAGAAATCAGTTACTCATTCAAGTTCCTCTGGAAATACATGTTAGATCCCAGTCCTACTATCCCCCCTCAGACATGCACTATCTCAGCTTTTCTTGTGTGGCAATGCCCTCATTTTAAATGATTCAAGCAACGGGATTTCCAGTATTCTTTCCCAGATTCACTACAGATTCATAGAGGCTTTCCCTACTGGAGAGCACTGAGTCTGTCAGCAAAAATTTCCCTTTGCTCATTCTAACCCCTTCCTCTCCTTCCCCACATCCCTCATCCAGCAGATAATTCTTGACAGCCATCCTGTCTGCAGTCTGCTATATGCATCTTAAGATTTAGCACTCCTGGCGCCCAGCCCTGCAGGTCCCTTCTATCTGTGCAGGAGCTAGCTTCATGCAATGGGCTTTCTCAGGCAAGCAGCCAAGCCTCAACATTCAACCCCTCTCCCTGTGATAAGCAGTATTTGAAAGGCTGAGTGTGACTGAAAATGCAGCCAAGGCCAGAAGCTGAAACGTGCCTTTATTTGGGTTTCACAGCTGTGTAGTGTGACCCTGTGCTGTCTCCCACCCAAAAGGATGATCTACACACTTCCCTGCTCCCTGCTTCAGTGCACCTGCATCCCAATTCAGCTGCAGGTTTTGCAGAGGTTTTAGGATGCACACTGCAGCCTGGCTTCCTTCCTGGTTTCAGACCCCAGAACCCCACCTCTGCTCCTTTGATGGAGCATCTGTTACTATCCGGGTATCTCCAGCACTCCCCAGATGTGCTTCCCCCTTCCATGAGTAGCTTTGACTTTGTGGTCTCTGTGGCCCAGCTGGGAAGCTGCAGGAGAGGTTATGTGAAGGTCTATGTGGATGTTGTACCAAACTAGGAGATTACATGTTCCCAACCTTAAAAATTATTTTACGATGTGGAACTAAAGAGGATCTAGAAGCATATAAAACTGTAAGAGTGCTTAGATACGAAAACAGAAAAGATAAGTGCTTGGTCACAATCTCATGCAGCAGTTCTTTGCTCTGGGTTGCTCCCTTCACAGTCTCTGGAACCAGTTATGTGTGACAGCCCACATCCCACTCTGGGGCAGGATGAGTTCAAGCAGCCTTGTCCACCGCCCTGTCTCTAATGAGTTACCAGCTAGTGTGAAAGCAGCTGGCAAGCCTTGCAAAGCTTTCCATCACAGGATAACTTGGCGGTGACACGGTAGGACTGTAGGAGATGATGGGCCCTCTGGCAGCTCTCTGATGACCGTTGGGAGATATTTACAAAATAGCCAAAACTCAGCAGTGGGCAGGAAGCCAGGTCTCCCTCTGGCCGCTCTTCATTACTGATCCTTTCACCCTGTTTGCTTGTATTTAATATTTCAGGTCTGTATTCGTCCCTTCTTTACACAGAGATCCTGTATCACAGTGGGGAGGTCTAGCTAAACACCTGGTTTATGCATTGGGCACTTTTTAAATCGATGGCAAAATTTATCTATAAAAGTTCCTAGTGTGTTAGCAAGTGAAGGATTAAAGGCAAAATTTGCCTAGCTGAAATTAAGCTGCATTCAGAAGCACCCCTACCCCTTAAAAACCATTTCCATGCTGCTGAATAATACTACAGAATGAAAACTGCCCTCCATGCCCCTATGAAATACACTGTCCTTATTGAGTTGCCTGTGGGAAATGTGGGATGAATTCGAGCCCTGGCACTTTGCTGGGAGATGACCCTGTTTAACTATAATTTGTACTCTGGAGAGTACAGTATTTACAGGAAAAGGGGTTTTGGAGAACTCGGTGAAGAACTGTAGGACCGTTTTTGTGTCTGATTTTGGCTCAGATTGTGTCCACAGAGAGCTTTCTGCTTCAGTTTCTGTGTTTCTAAAACGACCTGTGAAGTTCAATTGGGAGCCCAGAGAAAACTGCTCATAGCCCCAGAGGCAGCTACTCCCTTCCTTGCACCACCTCTAAACACCATGTTGCAGATTGCCTGCTTCATATCTGACTGCTTTTCTCTTTATTGGCTTAGTTACCACAGGAACCACACTTGGCATCAATGGAGCCATGGAGCTACTTTTCAAAGTCATCACCCCCTACAGCAAGAGACACGTCAGGACAGTCAGGTAGGCAGTATCCCCAAGGGAACCCATCTTTCCAGGACAGTAAAAAATAAAATTTTGGTTTCACTTGAAGGGGCAAAGAAATCAGAAATGGATGCGTAATTTCCACTCACTTTAAATCTGCAGGGTTTTTTAACAGGCAGAAATAGTTCCCTGAAGGACATGTTAATGCCATGATTCATCATATGATTCATGCTGGTGGCCGTTTATTTGTAGTGTACCCTATACAGGGATGGCAGTTTGATTGCCAGGTATTGCCCTTCATTTCCCAGTCAGGACAGGAGTTTGAGAAGCATGTGCTGGCAGCAGACAAACCGCTCCTGCCTACCCCTTAGCAAGAACCTCCTGCCGCCGCTGGCCTGGGGACAGGTACAGCAGAATTGTGGCAGTGCTGCCCTCATCCTCCTTTTGTAGGCAGTTGAGACCATGATATTCTGGAAGTGTGACAGTTCTTACTAGTACTAATCTGGGTCTATTTTAAGGCCATCCCAAATATTTCAGATAGTTTTTTTCTGAAGACAGCAAGTCCATTTTGTATCTCCATCTTAATGCCGAACATTAGTCCCCAAGTTCTCTGTTCTGACCGCTTCTTCAGATGCCTTTCATGGCAAACTTTGTAATGTGGAAAACATCCACAGAAGGACATAAGGCATTTCTGTGGCTTGCTCATTACAAACAGGAGGAAGAATTTACTGCTATGAGCTGTGCTCACACAATCACATTTGCTTAAGCAACACAGAACCTGCCCATTCTCCTGCTTAGACATGCAACGCCTTGTAGAGCACGTGGTCCCTATTTGTTCACACATGTCTTGGCAAGGACATGGCAACATTCAGTCAGTTTTGGCTTCTGCATGGACCCGACATGGGTGAGGTTCATGGCTGGTGGTCACTGAGGAAGTAGCTTTAGGCTGAGCATCACTTGTAGGTAAGAAGTGGATGGACAAACACGGCATGACAGTTTGGCCGCTACTTACTCAGCTGTGGGTGAGGTGGGAACCAGTCACTCTGGATGAGGGCACCAGTAAATAATGTCCATCTTGCTGTTACCATCAAAGACTGATACCAGTTCTCCCAATATGGCCAGTTACATAATACATTGCATGGGAAGGAATTTGAATTAATTTCCACTATCCGTAAGTGATGAACTTGCACATCAACACATGGTACTGTTGTTTGCTAAATGCAGCACTCTTCTGGTTCTTCTGCCTACGTGTCCGGGGCTATACAAAAAATTTGAACAGTTTGCTTTGCTAAATAAGACACAGAGTGGCCCAGCAGATACACAGCTTCCCGCAGCTGCCTTGTTAATAGAAGCCAACTCACATTTGCCTGCATTTTTGTCTTTCTAGTATAGTGCTAAGTACCTGGAACTGCTTCACAGCTTCAGTTCTCTCTCAGCCAGAGTACCTGTGATTCCTCTACATGGTCTGTCCAAAAGTACGTCAGGTTGATTCCTACACAGGGATTTGGGTATTACCCAACTCAAAGAATATTATCGCTAGGATATTATTCCTAGGATATCTGAGCACCCTCCAAGATTCCCCTTAGGCTTCACGTTATAAATTTAATCTTTAAAATTAAGGGAGCCTGGAGAACTGCCTTTTTGTGTGACAAGGCTGCTCAGGATGAGTTAAACCCAGATCTGGGCTTGACTTCTGAGGCAACCAAAAGTGATTGATGGATCCATGCCTGTGTTTAACTAAGCAAGCAAATTCCACTCAATTCCATGATTTCCTTCCTATGGAACTGTGGGCTGTGATTAGACTAATGTTAGTTCTACTTCTGTGATAGCCTCATAGGTCAGGATCTGTGTGTAATGGGACTTGGGCCTGTATTAGTTCTCCGTTAAGCAATGGGACTGGCTGCAAAATGAATTTTGTGCAAAGCTGCTTTTTCCATTTGCTGTTTCCTCTGCGGGAAGTGGAAAACTTGGTAACTGTCACACATTTCTTGCCTGGCTTTTTGCTGATATTCATTTGGAGATGCAGCTAGTGCTGCTGAGGGTTGTTGTAATGTAGGCTGTAAAGTGGTGTAGAATACTCACTTCTAAGCAGAAAGGGAATGAAATAGCCTTCACAGAAAAACGCTGCTTTTGATTTCAATAATTCCAAATTGCCAGTGTGCAATATTTCAGTTTTTCTTCCTTTTATCTGTTGTATAAGAATTGTTTTGACCTCTTCTGTGGACCTTTTTTCCATTTGGGACATGCACACACAAACCAGAAATTTCCCTCAATAAAACTCCAATTTTATTGCTAATAAGCCATTTTATTTATTGATGAAAAGCTTGGGTTTATTTTCCCTTTGAAAAAAGGTAACTTATACATTAATTGTTGTCTACCTGATCTTCCTCATTGCTAGTTCAGTTCCCTAATTTCCTTTTTTTCCTAAAATATTTATGCTCTTAAAACACTGTTGTATGATTGTGCAAACAGAGGATACAATCTTTCCTGGGACCTAGTTCACAGAAAAAGGTGATTTGGCTCCCACCTACACTTGGTTTTACAAACAAGAGCCATAAATCAGCTGAAGCCTGGTAACCACTCAGCTGGCCTGCCTAGGGTTCAAAGCTACTTGTTTCATTTCATAACTAGGAGCAGCTGAGAAGGTGAAGACAGTCTGTTTTACATCAGAAGTGCAGGAACCTGTTTTGTTTTAAAGAATGCTTGCAATCTATTTAAAGGTACTAGTTCCTTATTATTTAGTTGGGACTGTGCTTGCTAGCAGTTCATTTGGAAACACTGCTCTCACTGGGGAAGGTAGGTTCAAGAGATGTTCTTAACAAGAATTTAGGTCCTGAGACCAGAAATCCAGACTATGGAGTGGGTTACAGATCTTCTTTCCCAGCATTAGTGAATGTCTGAGATAGCTATGGTCTGCAAATCCCAGGCATCTTTAGAGTTTGTCAGAAAATAGAAGTGGATATGTGTGAAAATGTCTTTCTATTTTTTTAAGCTGCTCTAGTGAAAAATTTGTAGGGTGACTGGGAGAGGAAGCTTATTGGTGGGTTTTCTGAGATGGGGAGAAAGAATAAAAAGGGGTCATGTGCTTTGTCTAGTTCAGCATGTGATTCTGGTCATCTGACGCTGGTGCAGCTTTTCCCAAAGTTGCTGTGGCTATGCTGAAATCTGGAGTGGGTTATTTTGGTGTGGTTCGGTCACAAAAATATCTGCTTGTTTTTGGCTATCGGTATGGGACTTGAAGAGAATGCTAGTCTGTAACTTGCTTGTGGAGGAAAGCTCCAATGTCCTCCCAGCAAGCCTCTGATCCTTCCTTTGTATTTGCTCTCGATGCTTTCTCTCCATTTCATAACTATGTGCGACCATGATTTGCCTTGCTGCTGGGAAGGAACAGCCGGCAACTGTGGGGGCTGAGATTATCCTTGTTCTTTGATCGGCTGCCAGGAATGCAGCACTGAAAATGCACCACTTCTCTTGTGGATACGCCTGCATTCTCCTGTCCTGGGCAACAGCAGGACCAAGGTCACTTTAAGAATCTCCCCTGGAGAGTGCACTATGAGAGCTATTTATCTAGCTAGCTAAGATGTGGAAACAAGATACATAGTTCTATTTATTTTTCCCGGTGGCAAAGCTCTTGGTTATTTAGAATACTCTCCCGTGCTCCAGTTGACCTTCTCTGGGTGCATGCCAAGTAGCTCTGATTCCTCTGAGACTGTGACTCATGGACTTTATTGGTCTTAGTTAGGCATTTGAGGTCTTCAGGTTGCTGGTGTCATAACTGTGTGGGTCTCTCCAGGACTACCCATATCTGAAGTAAAAACCACATGAAAAAATAGAGAACTCAGAGGTTTAGAGGACTCTTGAGTTAAGCACTGTGAAATCCAAGTGAGATGGAGACTCTCGACTGTCTTGCCTGTGTGTCATGATGCTGTGCTGCAGCAGAATTTTTCTGATACCTTTTATAGGGGCTGTTTAAAATAAAGCCAGATGATGTCCTGTTTTTCTCCGTTCTGTTTATGTTAGTAGCTGGGATATCTGATAAAAGTGTGTGTACTGGATGCCAAAATCTTCACTCCATCAACACCTTCTCTAATGCAACATCCCTGATGCCTCACACAGTGCAATGGTTCCTGCTCCTGTCAGCTTACTTATTCCCCATATGTTCCTTATCTTCTACTCTTCTCCTACTTTCCAGTGTCCATTTCAACACCCTTTCTCACTTTCCCAATTTACTTGTTCTGAGAGATATTTGGATGTGTTGTGGGCAGCTGGGTGTGGAATGTAACAGTGGCAGATGTTTGCTTTCTGGCCAAGCAGGAGCTGTGTCTCCTCTGTATGACTGTCTCCAGGTGGCCAAGCATCAGATAATCTCCCCAGGCTGCTGGCATGTCAGGCCAATGGCTTTGGAGGCTGTATGTTGTATGTGACTACAAGTTGTGCAGGCTTCTTCTAGAGCTCCTCAGGTTGAAGGTAGATTATCAAAGTGAGTGAAAATAAAACCCCAGAACCTATGATTCTTTCATATGAGGAAGATCTGTATATTAGAAAATGTCAAATGATTGTGTGATTCATGCCTGAGTCGTTCCCTCCATTTTGTTACCTTTTTCTGTTATTAAAAAGTTGAAGGGCAGTCTTATTTCTGCGGTTTTAGTAAAAGAAATTTTACAGTCTTTTGTTTGCTTTGCAAAGCTCTTTGTGAGTACCTATTTACCACAGTGAGCAGTGATGGCTAATTGTGAGTGTTCACATAAACCTCATATGAGAGATTGCAACAAGAACGAGTATTTGTCAGAATAAAAACTCTATTTCTGTGAATATTCACAGAACTTGGCTCTCTGTACTGAGCTGTTCCAGTAAAGTTTGACTACTTAATTAAAAGTGGAAAGTGAATAAAAAAGGTCTGGGAACGAGGCCAAATTAATTCCCTAGAAAATGTGATATGCAGAAATTATCTGCCTTTGCTCAATGTCCAGCATTGCTCACTTCTGATACTTGATCACAATTCTTCTTATGTTCGGTGCTCATTGAATGGTCCCACCTCCTCAAACATGTGCTGATAATCTCCCTTTCCATTAAGGGAAGGAAATCCTCTCATGTACCTAATCCACCTGAGGTGGATATCTGGACTGCTCACATCCTAAAGGAAAAAAGAAGCAAGTTCCCTTCATCTGTATTAAATGTTTGCCTCTAGAAACTTGAGCTGTCTTGGAAGTGTTTATTTCTCTCTGAGTGGAGGATGAGTCTGGAGTGGGTAACTTGGAAGTAGAATGATGGGCATTTAAGATTAAGTCAGGTAGTCAGTTGCTGAGAGAAAGGTGGAAAATGCAGTCCCCTCCAACTAGTGTCAGGGCTCAACACCCAGGAAGAGGAAATGAGAACACAACACCACGTGTGACTTTTCTTCAGTGACGTGTGCTCAGAAGTGATTTGAGGTGAGGAGTGGCTCATGAATCTGAAAAATGCAAGAATAATAATGACACTGTTGCTATGGTCGGGAAGTGATTCCTGTATCAAATACTTTTGTCACAATGTGAGCTGAGAAGATGATTTTTACTGGAGTACTGAAAGCAGAGCTCATGCAAGTGAAGAGGTGATGTCAATGTGATCGAGAGTACATCTAAAGCTAAAAGCCCGAATCTGATGGGTCTGTATGTAATTGGATGTTGTGTCAGATTGACCAAGGAGAGTACGAAGACCCTGGAAATGCTGAAGATGTAAGAGGCTGCACACAGCTTCAAAACAGGCTTTGAATATATGTGTGTGCGTATATATATTATTCTGTTCTTCTATGAAATCTGTTTTGTTTTCACACAACTGAGATCCTGTTTTCTCATCTTGGGACTGGTGGTTTTAATGTAAGATAAAATGTAAGCATTAAGCCTATAGTGTTGAAAAGTGACCAAGCTGCCACATCAACAAACGCTTGTAAAAATGGTCTCCTGTGATGTTAACAACAGAAGAAATCAGAATGGCAGTGGGCTATGTCTGTTTTAGATGAAAACAAGAGATGTGTAGCGGGGATGACCTGAACACTGGAACTCTTCTGTTAAGAATGATGGAGACACACATGGAAGAAATACAGTTGCAAATGAGTCCTAGACCCAGTGCAGGCAGTTAGTTTCCTCAGCCTTAATCCTGGATAACATCTTGCTGGTAGACTACCATATACATTTGCTGCACTTCCATCTCCTGCATTGTCCTAAATTTTCAGCTGCTCTCTGCTTGGACAGAAGAACATGTTGCATGACCATTGCCAGCCAATATTGAGAAGAAGAAACTCAACGCACCAACATGATGATTAGTTCCTCTGCAACCTGATATGGTAGCTGTTGTGATTGTCTGTTTTTGAGGAATGCTCCACATACTGCTTTATGCCTTTGTTTATTTGGCAACGGTTCCTGATAGCAGATCAAAAGCAAATCATCCTTAATTCCTCTTGTTAGTCTGTGTTTTGCCATTAATCGTGTTGAGCGGTTTGGATATTTAATTGGGAAGTAACACACAATTCTATTGGAATGTGGTCAGAATTAATCAATGCTTAGTGCCTGCTTATTTTCAAATTGCTATTTGGTTCATTTGATCCCTGTAGAAAATTCACAGGAGGGGCTGAAATATTTCTTTTGAGCTATGTCACAATTAAATGACATGCTTCCCATCTGGCCTTGATCTAAATGGGATTTAGCCTAGAATTTCTCCTAAATAAAACTGGTAAGTAGTGTTCTGAATGAGACTATGCCAGCAAAAAGGGAAGAAAGGTTGTCTTTAAAATTCTTGTTTATATTATATGTCTTTTCAACTTCACTAATATCTCAGATAACATGGAGCAGCAATGGGTACATCACAGAGATAAGCAAATAAACCCTAGTGTTCGAATTTAATGCAATGAGCCATTGTAATAGAAGAAATTATTTTGGAGCAAAGGTGTCTCAGTTTTATGCAGTTCCTTCTCCGTTCTTTTTACGGTCTGTGTGTTTTCTCTCAAAGAATGACCTGTTCTAATATTAATAATGAGTTATAAAATCTCATTTCAGACTGATGGTATCTTGGTGCTGTTTTGCAGAGTAAATAGTTGCATTGCAGAATTATACTTTACTGGCATTGTACCGTTAATAGCAGTAGATGAGAGAAATTGAAAAATTAAGGGGTAGAGGCAAAGGAGAAAGATGCTTTCAGATGAGATTTGAAAATAGATGAAGAATTGATGAGGCATAGGGGAATACCATACACCAAGGTTACTTCAGATGGCTGGACGAACAAGTTGCATGCAGAAACCCTGGTGCCATCTCTTGGTAGCCTCTGGTATGGCAAGATTAAGCACCGCTGCACCTACTTCTATGGTGTAAGAAATTGGCAAACGAATGCTATACAGAGAAATCCACTTCTAATCTTAACTTGATATGTCATGGGAAGGGAGGAACTGGTTTATAAATGGACCCACCTAGTGAGACTGCTATTTTGAAAGGGGTTTGCTTTTTTCTTTTAAATCTAGTACATGTTTTGTCTTTCAGGTAGAAGTAACAATTTGAAAAAGAAGCAATGCTTTCAACTGAAGGCCTTTTTATGCTAGTCTATTACTTCTTTCCCTTTGAGCTAGCAGGTTATATTTGGAAAGGCGGTATGAGGGCAAGTTGCTGCTGTTCTCGAGTTCTTGACTTTTCACCCCCGGTGGCTATGGTAGATGCAATTCATGGCTGACCTCACATGATGGCTTTGGGTATGTCTATACTGCAGGCAACTCTGTGCTCATTGGCTGGGAGATTTTCTCTAACTTAACTTTAATTTACCTCATTCTGCTAATAACTGTTAAGGCTTGCAGCAAGGCTTCCAGTGTGGGCTACCCAAGCTTCTTAGGACATGATATCCAGTCTGGTTGTATTCATGTTGCTATATCTGTCTTGCTGTCAGTCTTTGTGCTGACTACACTAAAGTTAATGCTTGGCTGCCTCACTGCATTGCAATCGCATTGCTGCTTAGAAACTGTGAGGTATATCTCTGACGTAGCTGGGGAAAACACTGTTACTTCCATCCAAACGGAAGGTAGGACTTCATTTCGTACATCAGTTGCATCTCAGAGCATTTCCCAGAGTTAAATTAATTGCTAATGTTAACAATGGTTCCTTGCAGCTGAGTATGATAGTCCCATAGAATTATAGGTGAAGGCTGGTCTGTACTGATTATACTAAGCATTTTGAGAGTAGCACAGAATGACCAGAGTGGAATAAATCAAAATTTTAAAAAATTAGACTAGAGCTAGAAGGATTAAAAAATACTTTGCAATCTAGGAAGAAATGACTTCTGGAAGTTGATATGTTACCTGAGAGATGAGGAGTGGGCAAGATGTTCCTGATCTGGAGGTGCAGAGGAAGGCTTTCACCAGTGCTGGTAGGGCTATAAGAGTAAAGAAGGCAAAAAGTCTAATGGTAGAAGACAAAAGATCTGTCTGAAGTGCTAATCTGAGACATGGTGTGTTACTGTGGGCATATCACCAGAGAAGACTTCTCATATGCTCAATGCACACACTTAAAACTACACCTTTCTAATGCCTTTCTAAGGACAGTGAAGGTATGGTCAGTTGTGTCTAAGGCATTCAGAGAGGACAGAGATGGAGGGGGCAAAATGAGGAAGGGGAGAGAAGAGCAGAGGTGAACTTGTGAAAGGTCTTGTGCTGAGGCAGGATGCAGTTGAAGAGGACTGTGGAGTGAATGTGGAGCTGGCAGAGCAAGGAAAGGGTTGAGCCACATGGTTGTGTGACCTTGTAAGCACGCTTGAGGTGGATGTTAAGTGCCAAAGCTTTCAGAAAGAATCAGCCAGACAGCTCTGGGGGACTGGGACTGAAGGGAAGGGATTTCTAAGGAAAGCCAGCTGAATTTGTGCATGGAGGTTATGAAGAGGTGCCTACCCCTGCCTGTTTGCAAGTGTCCATTTTTCTGTGTCAGACAAAGAAAAATATCCCCCCTCAGAAATCGTTGAGTTGGGTAATGACGTGAATCTCTGATAGAGGCCAGAGAGTGAGTAGATAAGGAACTGAGAGCACTCACTTGTGTGTCAGCGCATATGAAAGCCCAGGAATCTCCTCTTGCTTTTGCCTTTCCCTTGATTTACTGCCATTTCTCCTCCCACCCAGAAGCCTGTGAAGGGGGTAGAAAGCAGCTGTGAAATCCTCCCTGCAAAAACTTTCTGTCCAAAGGTAGACAAGGGAAATTTGATGGAAACAACAATGAAAGGAAGCCTCAGTGCAGAGCTTCTACAGCAACAATTTTGCACAATACTGGCACTGATCATGTGCTGTCCCCACAAGGAAAACAGCCCTAAGCTTCCTGGGGTTGCTGTGGCTTTTTTCCAGCTCCATCAGCACTGGCAATGCTGGCAGGTGAAGTTGTAAGCCAGTCTCTAGACCTATCAGTGGTTTTAAAGTACAACAGTGATTAGACCTGCCCTGAGCAGAGTTATATGACACAGTGTCAAAGCCCTTAGCAACAGCCTCTCTACACTAGGATTCCCTGTCCTGATAGCACCGTTGGAGCTGCACCAGCTGTAGCAGCATTGGGGTAGCTGGTTTTAGCAATACAGAGGCAACACAACAGTGTTACTTCCAGTGGGCAGGGGAGAGAGCTCCAAAGTTTTCACAGCCTTTTTCGGGCTCTTTTGTGTAGTTATCAAATGCTGATTATGGAGAAATGGGGAAATACTCTAGTATTTACTAAGCACAGATGAAGTGAGTTTTGTTAGGGTGAGAAGGTTTTGTAGCAGCAGTGCTACAGATGCAGCACAGGTCTCTGGCTTGCTAACACTGGCAGGGCTTTTCTCTGCCTCTTTATCTGCAGGGCAACACTTGGAATGGCAGCAATGCCAATAAAATCTGCAAATAAACCCAGAGTGGAGCTGCTCTGGGATGTGTTCAGAGACAGGGAGTGAAACATGGAGGGGAGAACCTGAAAACTTGAGGAAGTGGCTGCTGAGGAAGAGCAGGGCTGCTTACTCCTAATATGGACCAGCTCTGGGGTTGGGAATAGAAACTCCCGCTGAAGTTTACAAACCTTGGAAAGGTCATAGCTCCGATACCAAGCTTTTATTGTCAGGCTGCAGCAACAGAACAGAAAAGAAAGAATAATCTGATATCTTTGGCACATCTACTCCATGAGTTTCTTTCCTCCCCTATGTTAAATGGATAGGGTTTGGGCTTTTCATGGACCATAGGACATACATTGCAATGGCACAACAGCTCTCGCTGTCTACTCAAAAGCTTCATTTCCTTCTTGTTTATCATTGTTTGAAATTGCACTTACATATTTGTGGTTATTCCAGCTTTCACCACCTTCCAGATTTTTCTGTGTAAGAAAAAAACAAGTGCACGTGGAAGAACCATCCTGATAACGATCATAATTTTTACTGTGCTTTTTAATTATTTATCCCCATTGCTTCATTCTTGTATTTACAGCTCAAGTTCTACCAGCCTTGGCTTTGATACGGTCTGTTTTCAAATCCCAGAGTCTGGCTTAATTATATCAGATGGAAACATTCCAATGAAAGGAGAGAGGAAAAAAATTACACTAACATTTATTGCTTAGGCTTCTGTGAATTACTGCTTCAAAAAGCCCCTGCAGTTATACCAGTGTGACATTGCAGCTTTCAAACAGCAAATATCAGGAGAATTTGACCCAGTATTTGCTGCATTTCAGCTTGTTACTGACTTTTTCTTCGTTCTAAATCCTCTAGCATTTTAAGTGTTGTGAAGAACAGGCACCAGCATTAAGATGTGACCAGATTATTGCTTAATAAGAAATTATACATGTGTAACTGAAAAAATTCATTAGTCTGTGGTTGGCTGGATCAACCACAACAGTGAGATGCTGGCTTTCAACCAGCCTTGCAAGCTTCATGATGTTTTAGTGACCTGTGTTGCACTCAAGGCTTAGTGCATGCTGCCTGCTCCCAAACCTTTCTTGTAGATGTGGGGATGAAACCTGAGGCTGTGCTTTGGCTGCTGTTGGTAGTACAGACTTGCTGCTCATCCTCCCAAAGTCCCAATGTATCCTGCATGTTGAATCTCAGTCACCAGCTGGGCAAAGTGCTGTATGGAAGATAATATGGGTGATCTAACACAATACTATTTCTTTGACTCTTGGGAGTACTACTAAGCTAAACGTACTTCTCTTTCTTTCTCAGGACTCCTACCTATGCCATTGTCATCTCATGTAGCCCATTGTTGTTCTTTGAACTGCTAAACATCTTGAGGTACTATGGTTGCAGAGAGCCTCATCTGTGACCTGGAGCCTGCATTTCCGTGCAGTAAAATGTTCTACTTCTGAGCTGCAGAGGCGAGGACAGGACAAGGACAAATTCATAGCAGGTGTTGGAGTGGTGGTGCATATGCTGCTGTTTGGGGCTGTGGCCTTTCGTGAAGGTGGCTCAGTCTACTTGTACAGACAGCTTCTGCAGAAGATGCATCCTCATTTGCAACATCTGTCCTATTTAGTTTGAACCTGCTCACATGTCCTCAGATGACTCTTCTGCTTTTTCTATCACAGCTCAGAGATCTTACGTCCAGAAAGCTGTTGTAGGGCAGTGTGGAAGTTGTTCACTTCCCACACCTTGGCTCTTTTACCTTCAAAGATGTGTCTCTGTTTACTACACAATAGAGCAGTAACCCCATTTCCCTGTCCTACCTGTCGAGTGAGACAAACCACAGAATGGCAGAGGGAGGCAAATGGCAGGATGGCTTTTTTTCTGCTGAACGTTTGTTGAAAATCCCAAGCAAGTTGATAAACTTTCCTCCCTGCTCTGCAATTGCAACTTCTATTTTCTCAAAGACTTCATGCTTACAATACTTGCCAGTGGCAAAACTAGTCAATACTATGTGTTTCTAGCACTGTTCTACAGGTGTCTTTCAGTTCTCTGTTTTGACAACACACCGTGGGTAAAATTGGCATTTCTTTTGCATACAAGACAGATCTGAAAAATTTCTAACCTGGCTGTTGGGGTTGACTGAAGGGACTTGGGTCAATGAGGGCTGAGTTTTCTGAATGAGTGAATAGATTTTCAGAGGTGTTTAGATATGCGAAGATGAAAGGGAATGTAACCATAACAGAAAGCCTCTTGGCAGGTTAAAGGCTTAACTTGTACAGTTAAAAGGTAGTTCTGACCTTAATATACTAAGGGGCTTTCAAAACTCTTGCTGAGTGCTAGCTGCGTGTTTAGACATAAAAATGCCTTTTAAATTCAGGTCAAGATGCCTAATGTGAATCTGTAAGAGAAGGCTACTTTGCTTTTCTCAAACATGTTTGTGCATTGTTCTCAATTTGAGACTTATTTAATAGTACCAATTAAGCTCAGTGTTGTGTACACACATGGCTAACAAATGAATCCCCCAGTATTTCCAAGCATGTTCATATTCAGCAGCATCAGTTAGGACCACCAAACTGTAAAGCGCCTAATTCACAGCAAATTCAGTGCTGAAGGGCTAAGTATGTATGTGAGGGAACAGTCATTGGAAAAGATGAAAAGCGGCTGGAAAACAGGAGAAAATGTGACAGCTTCTGCATGTTTTCTTCTATTTTGTCAAAATTCTACTTCTGTGCAAGCTTTTCAGGCAGCTCTAACTGACCACCATCCTTTGGGATTTAGGTAAGAAATGTATAGAGACTGCCTAAGCTGTGTGCCTAGTGAAGAAAAATAATGCTTAACTGCTTGGGAAGCACATGGAGATTGATAAATGGAAAGTGTTGCATGCAAGAAGATTAATTGGTATGAGTATCTCTTTCCACTTTCTCCCTACTGCCAATGTGGATGTAATATTGTGTGCTGTCAGTGCTGCAGGTGATGTGTAAAGAGCAACTCACACGTTTAAACCACGGCCTTAGTACTACAGGCAGAGTGTAACTGGGCACATCACCAATAGGCAGAACTGAGTAGGGCTATAGGGTTATGTTATGACAGTATTGCCAGTTCACAAACACCCAAGTTGCAGCTTGTCGTGTAGCACAGGAAGAATGATTCCAGTTGCTGTGCCTGCATGAAACTGCTTCTTGCTCTGGTATATTCAAAGAAACTCTGTAAGCCAGCTCTATTCCCTAGAGGTTTTAAGCTTTGTTTCTTTTGGCCAGGCTTTATGGATGTCCATCCTCTGAATAGGACCAGAGGGGAAAGTGAAGTGCCATGTGAACTCAAACTGATGGATCCATTTCTAGAGCCTTGTAATATGGAAACAGTACCATTAGATTAAAAAACAAACACAGTTTTAAATCTTGTGCTCAATATCAGTCATTCCTTCTTTTATTCTGAAGCATCTGACTTTGGCTCAAAGAAAAGGCGGCCACACAAGTCAGCCTTGTTTCTTGGTAGAGAGCAAGGAAGACGGTGCTTTTTAAGTCCTTCAGCTTCATATTTCACATCATTTCCAAGTCCCTTAAATTGTACAGACTTTAAAAATTACTTTTCCTGGAAGACATTTATTTGTTTGATTAAAAAGACCAACCAACCAAACCTCAAAATACTAAGCAGTGAAACTGCAGGAGCAGCTGAAATGAAAACTCAAATTTCCCATCCATCGCAGCAGCCTAGTTACACACCATAAAGGTTGCTGTTTTGAACGCTGCTGCTTTACAGCTCAAGAGCACCTTTCATTACAAAGTGCTTTTTAAAGATGTACCCTGAGATTACTGCTGCCTTAGAGATGGTTTGTACTAACCAGTAGTCAGGGAGAACTACAGCTCTTAGCCTTGATTACTTTGAAACCTGCCTTCTTTTTGTGCTCTCAAATTGCTCTGGTCACAAGCAGTGGCATGTTAGATGCCTCACTACCTAGACCGTCAGCAACACAAGCTGCCCTTGGATATCTCACTGCCAGCAATTGATACTATCCATAAAATAAAAGTCTTGCAGCTGTTTGCAGGAGATATAATGTGAGTGCAGGCTCATTTTCTGGCATTGTAAAGTCCTGGGTACCCCCAAGCTCTAACTTCTTTTTTTATAGTTTACCATCAGAGACTCCCCAATGGCAAAGAACCTGCAATTCAATTTCTCTTGAGGAAGGAAGTCACTGTTGTCCTGCTGAGGTTTGAGCCTAGGGTTCCTGGGTATGTCCCCAAGCAGTGCCCTTTGGCTGCTTCATGCAGTAAGCAGGGTTTTACCAGGTATGTGGATCGTGTCCCTCTCCCTGCCCTTACTCTGGGTGTACACAGCATTTGGAAAAGTTCAAGGCAGAATGGTCCAGAAGCAAGCAGAATGGGGCTGGGTCTCTCCCATGTCCATTGAGCACCTAATTCACCATGAGAATGTGCGTGTCAATCCATGGAGTCTTCAGAGCAAAAGCTGCTGGGCATGGTGAACTGATAATTTATGAATAAATTGACAACTAAGGAGTGATCTGACAGGCCACTGGGCTCTTCCTCACTAATAACTGGATTGGGATTGGAAGATAGCTGTCTAGGGAAAGGAGGGGGATTTAACCCCCACTCACTGACATGCTTTAACTGTGTATGAGATGGCTTTTAGGGCTGTGCTTATGCTTGTTAGCAGATGTGGCCTTGGTAAGTATCCCTACCACTCCTTAATCAATCCAGGATAGCATCAAGCCCCTTTCTCAGTCCCCCTACGTGTGTTCCTTGGGTGGGAGAGCTGGATTCTCACACTACCGGCCTGAAATTGCCTGGGTGACGAAACTGTTAAGAATCCCGTCTGACTGTGATCCTTTCAGTCCCTTCCTCTTGATGTGAATGACAAGCTGTCACAGCCTGCCTCAGCCATATTGGTGACATCTAACCCTACAGAGGGAGCTGACAGGAATGGGAAATCTTCTGAGGTATGGCTTCTGCCTGAGGAAGCAGTGCCAGCTCTGCACCATGCTGTAAGAAATGCCTGGGCATTTTTTTGGCGAGGATTTAAGTGTGCCTCATCTACCTTGTTCCTTGTTACTACTTTGAAGCTAATTTAATTTAGACCTGTAAAGAATAGGTTGAAATTTTAGGATACAGCTGTCTCTCCTTCTGTCCTTCTTCTACATGAGAGAGTAGGACACTTGTA